CAGCAAGCCCAAACTGGCATGGCAGATACGACAAGCTAAGCTGTGGCTCCTGGTAATTGTTTAAATTTACTATATTTGCTTGTATTCGAACTTTAAAGTTACATTATGTAAGTTGATACTCGAAACTATGTAATTATAATATAAAGATTAGTTTACAACTAAATCGTATTATAATTTAAATAATTGTTTTTATAAATTGGTTCATATAAAAACTCAGGCAATATTGTAGAATTATATAAACCTAACAACCACTTCTATTTAAATCTTCTCAGTGAAGTTTAAGAATGTAATTGTACTTTTTTTAAAAATCAATACTTTGTGTTGTGGTGTCAACGTGAATATATTTTCTGACATTCAAAAAATGACTTTTAGGTCTTGAGACCATAAAATATAGAGATAATAATATCTATAACTGTTTAAATAATTATAAAATGTAGGCTTTAACATTAAGATGTTTAGTATTGTTAAAGAGAAAACTACAGGCCCAAAATGGTGTTGCTTGTGCTAAAGTCCATGATACCAAATCTGGATTTAAAACCTGACCTAATTGCTATTTCAACCTCTCCCAGAAACATAATCTTAATCAATCAGTCTGGAATTTTCTGGTCAACACCAATGAGGTCATCTGTCAAGTGGGCCAGCTCCATCCCCTATAGAAAAATGAGGCAATTTGCATGATAAAAACTCTTGCCATTCCTTTCCCCCCACAAGAAGATTTGTCTAAAAATAATCTTTTATTTTCTTTTGTTAATAGCTCCCTTGCCCCACCCGTGTTCCTATAAAAACCTTCCATTTTGTACAATCCCTTGGGGCGGACTTCTAGTTGCTAGATGGAATGCTGCCAGATTCATGAATCACTTAGTGAAGCCAAGTAGGTCTTCAAATTTACTCGGTTGAGTTTTGTTCTTTTATAGTATAAAAATTAAAAAAAAAAAAAAAGAATACAAAGCGACTATACAACCCCTGTGTGAGCTCTATGTATTTTTGTCTAAATATAAACTACATCAACTTTCTAAAGCTTGAAGTAAAATAATAAGTAACTAATGTATTATGACTCTTATCTTAATTATATATTTTAATAAGACAATGATGCTTTTAAAACTTATTTTTATACATTAAATAGCATTACAACTTAAGTGTTAGGGATAGCTACATATAGTGTAGTATATTGAAGTTAATAAAATGAAATATATGAGAGAAAAATCAATAAATCAGGAAAAATAGAGAAGCTTTTGTAACCACAGAACCAGTTCAAAATTTTCCTATATTGCTTAAGGAGATACTAAGTTGCTTTTCAGAGACAACAGGCCAAAATCACAAGTTGTGCATTGAAGCATATGCAGAAAAGAGAACTTTGATCCCCAGCTGCACCTGGAACCAAAGTCTAGCCCTCCCCCTGCCGCCCCCAAACCAAAGGGCCAGGACATAACTGGAACTTGAACATCAGAACCCTTTCAGAAGCAAAAGGTCCGTTGTCCAGGAAGATCTGTTGTTGATGCCTCTTTACCATAAACAGCCAAGTTCCAAGGTCCTCCAATGAAAAGTTGTCCCACCAGGGCTTCCACGTACTTATTCCCCCTAATCCCTTAAAAACTCTTAACCTAGTCCAGGAAACAAAATGGATCTGAGGCACTGTTAGGTCTCTCATCTTCTCGGTTGGTGACTTCCTGATCAATAAACATTTTCTTACTCCAAACTTTGACATTTTGAGTTTTGGCCTTTCAAAGCATCGGACACACAAACTTGGGTTAAGTAACACTTTCTTAACAAAATAAAAAATGATAATAATACTATATTTTCATATTCTGTTCATTCTCCAATGTCTCTGTTTCTTTCATACCATCTTTTTTCTCATCAAATCGTCAACATCTTCTCCCCCATCCTCAACCCCAGCTGGTAACCTTGCTTTATATTCATTAAGAAAACAAACATTTAGAAGATAATTGCCAGTTAAAAGAATATTTTTATAAAACTACCACCCATGTAATCATCATCCTGGACAAGAAATAGAATACTTTGATAACCCCCATTCCTCTTGCTTTCCAGCCCCCTCTTCCCAGCTGATGATGTTTCTTACTTTACCCTAGAGGTAACCCCTATCCTGACTATAGTGATATCATTTCTTTGCTTTTCTTTATAGGTTTATATCTTCCCTATAAGCATCCCCTAAACAACACAGTTTTGTTTTACAGATGTTTGAACTTCATATACTTGTAATTGTTAATATGTATTGTTTTGTGACTATCTTCTTTTACTCCACATTGTTTGTGAGATTCATACATGTTATTGCAAATAGCTGTAGATGGTTCACTTATATTGTGGTACAGTATACCATTGTATGAATATACCACAATTTGCCCATTCTAACTTTGATGGACTTTCTGGATGTTTCCATTTTTTTATTGTTGTACAATAGTGCTACCATGAATATTCTTGTACATGTCTCCTAGTAATACATAAGCACTTGAATTCTGTCTGATTGCAGAGCTGGTAGATTAACAGTTTTCTGGGGCCAATGTGACTATGGGCTTGGTTTGTATTCAGAAGGTCAAAGAAGGAATTTTCCATCTGGCATCTGGGACAGGAATGAGAAGTGAGAACAACAGTGGGGAAGGGGTGAGGTGATTCTGCTATAACCCTTCCCTTCCCTCTACCCTGACTCACCTTTCACCATAGCACAGTCTTGACACCTCAAAGACCAAGATCAGCCACCTTCTTAATGAATGGGAAGTAATATGCACGATGGTTAAGAGTGGAATGTCTAAAGTTAGAAAACGTGAGTACACTTCCCTCCTCCAACTCTTCTCAGCTGTGTGTGTGTGACCTTGATCACAACTTAATTAACCTAAGTCTCGGTTTTCTCATCTGTAAAATGGGAATAAGATTAATTTTTTAAAGTGAGTTTTTGTGAGGTAAAATGAGTTGAGACCTGGCTGTGGTTAATGTGCTATTTTTACCTCTAACTTGGATTAAACAGAATACAGTGAAATCATCAAGAAGTATTTTGGAAAACTTTAACTTTTAAGAACTTGTTTTTGATTACTTTGAAGAGCTGAGACTAACAAAAAAGTAATTCTGTTTAGCTGATGTCAGCACTAATAGAATGAATGATTTCTTCTTTTGTCAGTGCTCATCTGGCTAGCTATGCTAAAATGAGTGGACTTGCACATGTGGGTATCAGACTAATATTCAGCTGGTTGAATATGGACTCTTTGCACTATTGTTTCAGTTATCAATTGCTATATGACAAACAACAAAAATATAGTGACAAAGTAACCATTTATTTGCCGACCATGATGAGGTCAGAGATTCAGGAAAATGAGGAATAAAACTAGTTTCTTATTTAAAAAACTATATGGGAACTAAAAATTAAGAACAAAACCATTTTTTTATTTTTTTTTAAAAAAGAAATTCAGGCAGGGCTCAGGAGGCTGCCTATACTCCACGTGGTGTCAGCCGGGGCAGCTCAGTTGAAGCTGGCGGACCCAAGATGGCCCCACTCACATGTCTGGAATCTTGGTTCTGATTCTTGGGTGGCATGTCTCAGTTCTCCATGTAGCTTCTCTTTCCAGTAAAATAGCTCCCCAAAGAGCAAAAACAGAAGCTACTGTGGCCTCTTTGGGAATTACACATCACTTCTGCTGCATTCTATTTACCAAAGCTATTCAGAGCCAGCCCAGATTTAAGGACAAAGAAAGTACTCTCTTTTGCTTGATGGGAAGAGCAGCAAAGTCATATTGCAAGTGAGTCTGCAGGATTGGAGGAATTATCGTGGGTCATCTTTGGAAACAATAGAGTGTGAGCCTTTAAACTTAGAGCCGAATTGTCTTTGTTAGAACTGGATATGGCTCTATGTTCATTTACTAGTCCCAGGTGATGAGGAGGCAGAATATCATCAAGTTTGTTTTGGGCAAGGACGTGTGGGGAAGATGAGAGAAATAGCAAAAGAGACCGAGAAAGTGCATCCCATAAAGAAGAGAGAAAACAAATAGGGTGTGGGGGGCCTGGAGGCTAAGTGAATACACGATTTAAAGAGGAGGGAATGATCAACAAATGTTGCTGAGCAGTTGAGTAAAATGCATACTTTTTTTCAGAGGAGAACTATAAGAAACTGATAAAAAGTAATTATCTTAAAGAAGAGGTGCTGGTGGAAGGGGAAGGGAAGGCTTCCACTTATCATAACCTACCTTCTTCTGTTTGAGTTTTCTAACCTGGTATATTAATTACTTTTTTGTAATATGAATTATCTGAAAAGTGAGATTATGGACATTTTCTTTAAAATCTTTTTGTAAAGAGCTCCTTACCATCACCAACTTTTCTCATCCTCCAACTAAAGTTAGACAATAAGAAAGTCCAAGTGTACGATTCTTCAGGTCAATGTTCCTTGAGTTCTTTGCCACTTTTTTCCTCGGGTATGATGTATAATCTAAAATGAGGGAGGCAGAAATCAAATTCAGTTTCATTAATGGTGGTTTATACCTTATAGGATGCTGTTCTATGAGAGAATTCAGTGAAAATTGGAAAGTGTTACAGATATGACTCTTAACCACTTTGGGCTGTTCATTCCCTTCTCCCCATGTT